CAGCGCAGCTAGCATTTGTTTGATCTCGGTAACGTCAAGTTCGATTTTACGAACAGAATTGGTGAGTGCAATATTCATATCAGACATTTGGAAATGTTTGTTTTAAAATAAATTTTTTTAATGAATAAAAAGGTATAAAAAAGTTAAAAGAAGATATGCTAGTACATGTAATATATTTTTATCCCACCTTTAGTTACTTGGAGTTGAATTGTCTGCTTATCTAAATTATGTCATTTTTTTTTTTTTTTTTTTTTTTTTTTTGACGGACATGTCGTCATGTCATGGCGTTTTAAAATTTAAATGACGGAAACAAAATCGAAATTAATACTTAAGGTCAAAGACCATAGCTAATAATGTATCGTACCTGTCGTCATCTTCCAGGAAACTTTCATCATTGACGTATGTCACTATGAAAGGGAAATAATTAAAAAGGCGATTTTAAACTTAAGTTATTGAGTATATAAAAAGCACCTTACATATAGACATTACTTACACCGGTTACATTTTCCAAATATAAATCACACTTCCACAAATATCAAAATTTTCAAATGTCATTCCCTCCCTCTTCTTCGTCAAATGCCAACAGACAAAGAGATAGACTTCCTCGTGAAGCTTTTGAATGTGACAGCTGTTCGATGATCTTTGACAGTTACCGTCAACTCCAAAACCATAAGAGAGTTCATATAAGAACAACAACATCTGAAGATACCGATATGCAAGAAAGCAATTATAATTCTGCTGATAATGGAGACGTCAGTGATTACGGTATAAATAACTACCTTATCTCCTTATTTTAAAAATAACTTACAAGATAATTTTAGTCTCTACCCCCGTTGGCATGGATGTTGATGACCAAATCAATTATAATTGCGGATGCAGCTTTGAAGAAAATGAAGGCAGGGCTCACGTTTATCAAGCCAGTAGAATCGGCTCCAACACATTCACAAAAGCTGAATTAATGAGCATTCATCTTTCCCAATTGATGCTGCAACACAAGATAGCCAGAGCTGCTTACAGGGACATTGTAAGATTTGTTAATACGGTTATTCGGGACCACGATGAGATTATGATGGGTAATAAAAATAAACATATGGTCTTGATACATTAAATTTTCTAACATCACATTGGTAATTCATTCAGAACCCGGAGCCAAAATTAGCTATGGTGAGGTTGTTGATGATTTAGTCAAAGCTAAATCCAGTGTTCATGGCCACGAATATGATGTCTGTCCCAACGGCTGTAGATTGTATGGATTGGATGATGAAGAAGACCAATGTATCGACTGTGACGAAAAGCGATATAAGACTAGCACTGAATTGATTAAGGTCCCCAACGCCAGTATGAAATTGATGTCTATCGGTGATCTTCTTTCCAATATGTTGGCTGATCCTCACACTAGAGACCTTCTAAAGTATAGAGCCAACAGGGAATCAAGTAACATGCAAATGAGTGATATTTTCGATGGGCAAATTTACAAGGATCTGGTAAGAAAGGGATTGTTCTCCAATCCTGACGATATCGCCATTGGTCTTTACACGGATGGGTTTGTAAACCAAAAGAAGGGCAAAAATTCTTTTACAATCATCCACGTTGTGATATTCAATCTTGATCCTTCCATCAGGTAACAACTTATACTGGTCTTAAAAGTTACAACTTTCTAAACACTAGACATTAGATACACAAACGAGCATATGTTACAGCTAGCAATTTTACCTGGTCCTAAAAAACCTACTCATCTGGATTCATTCTTGCGGCCCATCATCGACGAGTTAAAGGATTTGGAAACCCATGGGCTTGTTGTTAAACGTGGTGATATCGAAATCTGTCGCTCCAAAGTATATTTGTTGCTGGCCTCTGGTGATATTCCAGCTGTGGCGGATATGGCTCACATCGGTTCTCATACCAGTACATACGGTTGTCGTTTTTGCGAATCGAAAGGGAGAAGTCCAGACAATAAGTCTCATGGAAAGTATTTCGACGATAGTTCTGCCCTATTGAGACCATTGCAAGACTACATAACTGGAAATCCTGTAAGTATAATGACTTGACCTTTTGTTTTCTCGAGACTAATAAAGTGTACCTACTATAGATAAAAAATATTTACCAACCTAGTGTTTTCAGTGAGCTATCGACATTTTCCGGTTCCTCATTTTTTGGGTTGGATGAGCTCCATCTTATAGCCAGAGGTATCGGCAAACATTTATACGATCTGATCACAGTAGAAATTTCCAAAGATCAAAAGTACTACTATACAAAGCGAGATAAAACCGTCTCAATCGCCAACTATCCTTTCTACATCTCAAGAAACAATTTGGATATTATTGGGGATTGCATCACTTCATCTAGAAAGCATGTCCCCGTTTCTTTCCAGGGTAGCTTCGACAATGTTTTTGAAAAGATTGATGGTAAACGTGCGGTGGATTGGTTGGACTTCCTTTTGTACATTGTTCCCACACTGGTTGTGCCCTACCTGCCTAACAGGTCTGCCAAAAATAACGTCCTGGGCTTGGTCAAAGGTTGTGCTCTTGCATTGCAGTGGGATCTTACACCAGATCTTATCAATGAAATGGAGGGGTAAGTCAGTATACTAAAGTATTGGGATATCAGTTATTTAACAAAAATATATTACCTTTGACAGCTTCTTTGCGACTTGGCATACGTATCTTCTGGAGCAAGTCAATATGAAAAACATCTCTCGGAGCGTGTTTCGTCCTGTCCAACATTACTTGATTCACGTTCCATACATCATCAAGCAGCAAGGTCCCTTGAGGTGTTACTCTGCAAGATCTATGGAGAGAGTGATTGGTGTATACTCCAAGCTGATTAAATCAAGAAGAATGGGCGGTAGAAACGCAAGTATGCTCATCGAAAAATTTGCGATTCATAATTTCATCAGCGGCATTATCGATATTACGAAGGAAATTGATTTGATCGTACCAGCCGGACCAGGTGACATCCATTTTATGGATCTTCCTGATAGCCTGGATGATGTGCAGCTTTGGGCGCCGTTTGGTGGTAACGCCTCTCTGGATGGTGAGATGATACAAGGTATCAGATGCAGCCGAGTAAAGGATGCCTTATCTAGATATTACCGAAGATCTAGTGGTGTTAATGCTGCTACTTCTTTCGGTGATTCTGAAATTGCCATTGCTTCTCGTGCTTGGATAAACAACAATGTTTATTCCTCCAGCATGTACAGAAGACAAAGGAACGAGATAAGTCGGGGAAACCATTACGTGATGTTCACCACCAGCTATAAAAAGTAAGTCGATTCCTGTTTTCATTGAGTTAGCTTCTAACTCCTTTTTCTTTTTCTATTTTTACCTTAGCCACTTCCACGTTTCCCTTCGCTGTTGGCTTGTAGGTGCTGTTCAGTTCTTTTTCAAGCATGTTGACTTGAATAACATCCCACAGTTTTTGGCGCTAGTCGAAGTCATGAAACACCACGACGTGGCCCGACACGACAAGTCTGTTCCAATTGTCAAGGCTCGTTCAGGATCAGCGCAAGCAACATTCGCGGTCATCAACGTGGCAGACATTGAACATCAAGTTGGGTTAATTGAGTTTCCTCCCAATGGAAACCAGTTCTACGTCATTGCCCCCTACTATGTATTCAACGATAATCTTCAAGCAAATAAAGGAAACCTTTGCATTTTGTAAGTTTTTGTAATTGCCATTCGTTTCATTACTTTTCTTTTTTTTTATGGAACACATGTCGAATAGAATAAGGTCATATTTTCTTGGGGCAAAATGATAATAAAAGAATCACAGAACCGAAAAAAAGAACTTCTTTTTTTTTAAAAAAAAAAATAAAATAAATAAATCTGGTTTTTAAAATAATAAAAAAATGGCAGTTTGTTACCATTTGCTTCACAGGCGCAAAAAATTATTTTTTATACCGTAACCCATCAAATTCGGATCAATATTGCAACAAATTTTTGGCATATAGCAATCTAATTTTAACTTCGAGATAGTTTTTATAACATCTAAACTACATATTGACGGTTCCAGAAATGTTTTTGAAGCTCTTTTGTTTTTTTATGATATTATGATCATTTGTAGCAATCTTTTGCTCGAATCTTATTGGCTGGGGATATCGAGCAAATAAAAAAATGGCAGTTATGTTTCCATTTGGTTCACAGCTGCTGGTATGTCCGCCATAGTGAAAGCTGATGATTTATACTTCTTTGGTGCAGATCTACCTGTCAGAATTAAAAGAAAATTTGGTGTGAACCTTGACGCTGTTGATATGATTGAATACTCTGAGCAAAGGCATCAAACCCCATGAGTCGTACAAATATTATTCTATAAATAACCACATACATAGCACTTTAAATATCAACACAAGCAACAATATGACTTTTAAATTATATATATAATAAATATCGACTACCAAGTCATAACGTTTAGTAACAAACAACTCTTAATGATGATCTTAAACCTCGATTAGATCTCAAGAAAAATTACGAACGAAAAGTCGAAACAAAGTTACATAGTATTGTCTCCATTTCTTTTTTGCAATTCTCATTAAATCACGGTAAATTGATTTAAGTACTTTTTTTTTTTTTTTTTTTTAATATCTGAAAACAATTTTCTGCGTCCAATTTATAAAATTATCCCCTCCCTCCTTCACGGCAACGTATGAAATGTTAGACAGCTGGCGATCCTTCGCCTTATAACTGCTTGTAATTTCCTTCTGTAAAACCAGCATTGTAGCTATTCCATTACGTATTTAACTATACTCCTTCGAATACCACTTTTATCTGATTTCGTCGTATAAATGGAAGACTTCCAAAATTCCAAAATTTAATTTTTAACCGGGATTTAAATATTTTCTCCTTTTTTGGATTTGTGTAACCATTTTTTAACTTGATTTTAATTTAAAAATTTACAGCCAAAGTTTATTGAGGCCCCCCCCCCTCTACCAAGGTCAAATTTTAACTTTTTTAATTTTTTTAACTTTTTATTTTTTTCTTTGGCGCTTATTCTGTTCATTACCCTCAGAAGAATGACTTTCTTCGGCGGGATTTATCGAAGCATAAAACAATTAGGAACTTTGCCTTACAAAGAATGAGTGCTTTTATCGTTCTTACCTTCGCAAGTATTTGACCAAGAAGTCCCCTCATATCATTCACCTATTCCATTTATATAGTTAGATAATCTCATTCAATAATAAGTAATGCGAGAATATAAATTGTTACCTGGCTGCTCATCAGCTCCAAGCTGCTCTCCAACGATGTCAGACGACTTCCATAGACGTCATTACCACCGGCACCAGGAGAGTCTTCTGAGCTCGGACCTTCCATGGTCTTGATGGCCGCAGACATGTAATGAGCAAAAGTGTCTGTGAAATCTTGCAGATTACTTGCCTGCGCGGCCCTCGTCTTTCTTGGTATCGGTGTCGTACGAGAGACCGAACGAGGAGAGGAAGCGTGTTGATCGTCAGCAGCTGCATTCTCCACAGCCTGCTCTTCGATTGTTGGAAAGTTGTTTCCTCCCCCCACTGCCGTGACCACAGTCTCTGCCTCCACATCACCATCTTCGAATTCATCATCAATTCCTCCTAGCTCAGCTTCGGCCGTTTTAAGCTTGATCAGCTCTTCGATCTCCCTTGCCTTTACACTCAAAGGTCCCCTACTTGGAGTACCTAATGGATGATCAACACTTATTGTTAATAGTTGTAAAAGAGTATCATCAATTAAACCTTTACATACCTGTAGGTGACTTCGCATTTTTGAATCTCCCAAAAAGCGCCTTGAATGACTTGGAGTCACGGTCATAGACTTGTACGGCCACTTGATTGTTTCCGGTTCCATTTTGGCTGGCAACTTCAACCATTCTCTTCTTGAAAAAAACTTGTACAAGCTCCCATTCATCAGCACCGGTAGGTAACTTATCCTGAACAGCTTCGAGTAAAACGTCTTGCTCGATGGCTGAAAATCTGTTTGATCCGCTTTTGTTTCCCATTTTGTATGAATAATTGGTTTTTGTTTGATGTGAATTTATAAAAGTAGTTATAATAAAAGAACATGTAAATATGATATCAACCATCTCTTAAATACTAAATACTCTTGAGACAGTCCCAAACAAAGCATTCTTTCCATAAATTATATTGTTTCATATATTAAAACAGGAACAGAAATTGATTAAACTATAAAGATTACTTTTATTCATTCGATTCTTTTTCAATATCTTCCTTTAATACAATAAACAAGTATGCCGTCAAGTAAAAAACAAAAATTCAATTTAATTACTACTGCTGCTTTTTCGGCTGCTGTTATATGCCATCTGTATCATTTGGAGTTAAACCGCCGTATTGCGGACCAATCCTACATAAACTCAAGAAGCTTGCGTAAACCTTCCGAATCTGCTGCAACAGCATTAATTAATGGTCGTGATCGCAAATCTTTCCTGTGCCATTTGGGATTGACAGTGGAAGCTTTCGAAAATTTGTATGAAGAGTTCAAGCTACAATATCCTAATGAGTGTCCAACTGGACGGCCTCGTGTTCTTGATGCCAAAATGGTTCTTGCTTTAGTCTTGATGTGGCTCCATAATACAATGAAGCAAGAGACGTTGGGCATAATTTTTGGTGTTCCTGCTGCAACTGTTAGTAGATCCAAGAACATGGGTATTGAAACGCTTTTAAAGGTGTTTAGATCAAAACCAAATGATCCACGATGGAAGATTGGATGGCCCTCTTCAAGCGAAAAGGCCGAGTTTAACGAAATGGTTTTGTCAAACACAACCAATGATTTCGAGAGAGGAGTTCTCACAGGTGTTTTTGGTTTTGTTGATGGACTCAACCTTAGGATCCAACATCCTGAAGATCCTTTGGAGCAAAATGCTTATTACAATGGATGGAAAGGCGACTGTTTTGCTTCTCAAGTAATCGTTTTTACTCCAGATGGATGCATTTGTTATGTCAGGTAGAAAATGAAAACAGTTTTGTTTACAAATGAATACTGATAAGCATGATTACATATATAGATACAACTGTCCTGGTTCATGGCATGACGCACAAATTTCTATTCCTTTATATAGAGATTTGCTCTCTCGTCGATGCCCTGAGCCTTTCAAGATCCTTGCTGACTCTGCTTTTCCTTGCAAAAGGGAATTCGCATCAAAGGTATTGAGCGTTCCCAAGGAAAATGCAATAGGTTTGAACCGAGCTGATCGCGAAACGCAAAAGAAGCACGCAGTCATCACCAAACATAGACAAGCCGTTGAATGGGGAATGAGATGTCTTCAACAGTCGTTTGGAAGGCTCCATATGAAGCTTCCATCACACAAACAGGAAAGAAATGACATACTTATTGTTGTGTGGAGATTGCATAACTTCCGAACAAGGCTGGTTGGTATAAACCAAATTCGAACGGTATACTACGGTACATGGAACTACAGAAGAAATGTTCTCGAAAATAGAGTT